GGCAATTACATCTGGATATAAAAACGTCAACCCCAGCACTACTCTGAACGGCCCCCAAAGTGGTCTCATGTCATACAGTGAGCATAGCACGATGCGTGCGCTGTCGTGAACAGGCACTTGGATGATTTTAAGGGAGCAGATACACACAGGAGTGAATCAAGAGAACACTTGATTTTTCCTAAGCATTGATACATTTACAAGAGGTTCCAGTATTCACAACTGTGGCAAAAGAAGTTTTATTCTGAGGTCTACATAAATAACAAGTTAACCAGGAGGTACAAGTTCATGCCTCAGTGTTCCCCACTGTGTCAAAATATGACATGAGCTAGTTGTTTTTTAATTACAATTTTAACAAGACTTAAAACATGTTTCAAAAAATGGATTGTTGAATATTTGTGGAATCTCTGCATACCCTTTGTAGAACCCAAGAGGTCTACAGAACCTAGTTTGATACCCTCTAAAGTATTGGATCCCACCGTGGGGAGAAGAGGAAGGGAGAGGGGATGATGGGCGAGAGCCAGAATATAAACATTAGTACTCTCCAAGCCATTTATAATCTATTTGGCGAATTCAGACTTAACCTGGTTACAAACTGCTCGTCTGAGTCTCAGTTTCCCCACTTTCAAAATGAGATGGTTGATAAGGAGTTCCCAAACCACCAAATCCAATGGCAACAGTATCACCCTACATGCTGTATGGGTCAGTTCAGGAAAAAAAAAAAAATAGGGATTTTTCATCATAAACAGAGAAGTTAAGACCTGCTCTCTCCCTGAGCTGCTGTTCATAGGACTTCATGACGATCACAGTCATCGTCAGGCTGCTGGTGATGGGCCAAGCTCTGCTTCTACGACTCACCCTGTCAGACGCGGGTGTGCGATTGGGTATGACCCAACCTGCCCGCTCAGAGGTTGGTCTCTACTTCCCTTTCATATTGACAGACAAAAATGAGTTGCACTACACACTGCATCCAACACGGGAAGTTCTTAGAAATGTTGACTTGAGAATGACTCTCAATACAATTTTAGTTAGTTGTATAGTCATTCTATTGAATAAGCATACAGAGGCAGACCTCAGAGATATCGTGGGTTGGGTACCAGACCACACAATAAAGCGAATATGGCAATAAAGCGAGTCCCATGAATTTCTTGGTTTCCAGTGCCTATAAAAGTTGTGTTTACACTATACTATAGTCTATTAAGTATGCAATAGCATTATGTCTTAAAAAATGTACATACCTTACTTAAATAATACTTTATTGCTAAAAAATTCAGCAGCACATAATCTTTTTGAAATAGTAACATCAAAGATCTCTAATCACAGATCACCACAATAAATATAATAATGAAAAAGTTTGAAATACTGCTAGAATTACCAAAATGTGACACAGAAGCATTAAATGAGCAAGTGTTGTTGGAAAATGGCGCCATGATGCAGGGTTGCCACAAAACGTCAATTTGTAAAAAATGCAGTGTCTGCTAAATGCAATAAAATGGAGCGCAATAAAACGAGGTATGCCTGTATTCTTGAAATGCATCTGCCATAAAGATTACATATAATCACATTGGTCATGTTCGTACATGTCACTTACGTGCAATGGAAAGAGGCTCCCTCTAACCTGTTCTCTACAAATGTAGTTATTTCAATACAGGTCACAGAAGTTGACTTTCAGGGTTTCACAGAAACTCTTCTTATAAGTAGAACCCATGCCAGGCATTGAGTAACAGGCCCCACTTCTCTTCACATCCCCAGCTCCTCCCTGCAGGACAAGGGGCCTCACGCGGTGTTTATGGCCACCCCAGTCTGTGTGTCCCCATTCTGTCCGATGTCTGCAAACTGCTGCCCCTTACGCATGGGGTGAGGACACAGGTGGCCCAATCTGCCGTTAGGAGGAAGGACTGAGAAGAGCCCGTGCAGTCCCCATTCAGTCAGGGAACTCCAATGCCCTGAGTGCGGCTGGGTCTCAGGAACCCTGGGTTCTGTGCCCCATCAAGGGAGGCAAGGCAGGAGCAGGGCCAGCGCAGGCTCCTCTAAGGCATGAAACCCAGGCCAGGGGCCCGTCCTGCCTGGGTCTAAGGCATTCACTGTAGCCATCCACATCTTGATTCTACACCCTTGAGAGAAATAGGTATAAACAACCCTTCCTCTCCAGGGGTACATGTGCACTCTGACTGTATACTGAGCAGCAAGAACCCAATACTCCCTAAGGACACCTGAAGGTCATGCAGGAGCCACCCAGTTAAGGGCACTTAGCCCTCCCTTATCAGATGAAGACAAGCCGAGTCCTTTGGCCCTATGTTATACCAACTACAGCCACAACTAGAATCCGGGCTTATGATGACTGTCCTAAATTAATTTCTACCCCAAAGGCCAACTCTTTCAAGGAGCTTACAGCCTGATAAATAAAACGCCTACATAATTACAAACAAGATAGAAAGCAGTATTATGAAAGACATTAATAAGACGTTACTCTGGAAACAATGGGGGGGGGCGGGGATTAATTTCTGCAGGGGTTACCAGAATGGGACATTTGAGTCAGGCTTTGGAAGGTAAGTATTATATTATTAGCATTTCTCCTGGCTGCAAAATGTCAGTTTCGAATCAGTTAACTTGTAAATTTCTTTAACATTCCACAAATCAAGTTGATTCCCAGTTCCTGTATGACATAACTCACTAAAAAATGTGTATTTCCAGGAAGTGGAGTGTAGTCTTTTTCTTTTCAAGAAATACAAAAAATAAATACCAGTTCAGTCTGAAAAAACTGATCCCAGGCCTTTATGTGTCACTGTGTGTACATAAACCAATGTATCACTATAGAAATGGATTTTTCCTTAAAAAGAAAAATAAACAGTGGGAAAAAATTTTAATGCGGTACCCTACAGGAATCATATTCTTTATTATTGACATTAAGTTCCAACTATGACTCTTTCAAATAAAGTCTGAATTTGTTCCAGTGTCTTTCCCAGTTGCTAATATTTTTTACTTTATGTCGCATAAGAAATACAGAGTATGCAATACAAACTACATACTGAAAAATCAGGTATTTACAACTGCCTTTCCCCTTTTCTGTATGAAATCATTTGTCTCCATTTTCCTGTCTGAACATATCAATTTTCAGCAAGAATGGAATGTTAATTGGTGTTACGCACAAGCTGGGCTATCATTCCTCAAATTTAATAAGAAAGAAAAAAAAAAAAACCCAACTGGGTTTCCTGTTTTTATTTATGGTTTTCAGTGCCCAGTTGTGGGGGATCAAAATACAGTGTCTCAGTTACGGCTCATCCTTCCCTCAATTAATGTACCAAAGGAGACTGGTTCCTTCCATCTGCTCCCCTGATGACTGTCCGGATCGCAAAGCCTATTCAAGCTTCTCCCCAGGGCCCTGAAACAACATACGAAACTACTTCCTAGGGAAGCTGCAGCCTACCTCACCCTTCCCACTGGGGAAACACACAGACTCAGCCCTTTCTGGTGTGATTATATAAGAACACAAGGGCTCACTTGACCCAGCCCAAATTGGAGACTTATCCTTTAAACACCGTCTCATGTCCTGTCTTCTCAAAAGTGACGGTGTATGTTGGGCAAAGAGGAAACAAGAATGATTTATCTTTCAACAATAGTGACACATTCTAAGGAATCCTCTGTAAAAATTCTGATGCCCTAGGTAAAGTATATAATGTTGGGAAAGTATGTGATCTTACACATCCAGGTTCTAGTATCTGTATTTCCAGGGTGAGGAAGCAGAACACGTTTGCAAATTGAATGTTTTTCTAAGGCAAGTTACCTCTCTTAGAGAATTTCCAACTCCCCTCCTGAATTTCTACTTCTCAGCTGAGGCATTACTGGAATTTGGGGAAACAATTCTTTGTTGTGCAGAATATTAGCCTCCTTGTGGCCACCACCATCCCCCAAGTTGTTATGATGACCAAAGATGCCGTCACACATTTCTCAACAATGTTTCCCCCTCCCCCCAGGGCAGTGCTGCCCTTAACTGAGAACCACTTTGAGGCTAAAGATGGACTATATGTAGAAAATGGCATACTGACCCAAGAAGATTCTTTTACTTAAGGCTTAATATAATGCTTTGAGGGCAATGTTTGTAGGCTTCATGGAATCAAAGGGATTCTCCATATCAACCTCCTGCCCCAAATAAGCAGCACAGCAAAGGAACATGACTTGGCTTTAAAAAAAAAAATCTATGTGTGAATTCACTGCATGGAAAACAGGTCCTTCAAAGACAAGGGATATTAATGTCTGCTTCCAGGCTCCTCTTTGTATATTTTGGGTGCAGAATTTCATGAAAATTCATCTCAGAAGCAATGAACTATATGGAGAAATAGAAGCTAACCAGAGCGAGTAGCTAGTATGGTTTTGTGTCTGAATGAGAAAAAAAACAGAATAACTGTCATTCTTTGCCAAAATAGAGCCTTTGGGTTTACTCTTCGTAGTTTGGCTTGGATGAAGCCTTCACCCGGCAGGGTGGTGCTACTTGTTCACAGATCATCCAAGTTCACTGTAAATTTAATTTCTTTACAGTCCTCGCACCACAGCTTCACATGAGTGCTTTCACACACCTGTGCAGGTACCTGGCTGTTTCTCAAACTAGGATGCTGCAGACAGGTCAACATTCCTGGTGCTCTCTCCTCGCTGACCTTGAGCTATGTTTCCCTAGACACTATATACGCAGCTCTGAACACAGTGGTTATGGCAAAAAGCCATATGGCAAAACCATTTGGAAACTTATAACTGATTCCTTTCTAGTGGCTAAGAAGCAACCGTCTATTTCTGCAATGGGTTCTGTCCACAACAAGCCCAGCCCGGATATGTCTGTAGTTGTAAGCATAACACTTTCCTCCTACTGCCTGCTATATAAAAAGTGCAAAGACATTCTGTCCACCAACTGACCACGGGCAGTAATAACATTAGGGGCCTGGAATGGGGGCAGTTTGTCATTCAAAAGCAGAAAACTAAGTTTAATTAAAAAACAGCACTTTCTCACTCACCACTGAGGTAAGAGCCATCTGAAAACTGTAGATGCGGGCAAGGCCGAAGTCAGCCAGTTTTATTTGTCCACTGCTGGTCACCAGAATGTTCTGTGGTTTTAGATCACGATGTACCACTCGGTGAGAATGAAGAAAGTCCAGACCTCGGAGAAGCTGAAACATCATATCCTAAATAAAACCAAAAAAGAAAATCAATCAATGGTCAAAACAGAAATTCAACATGCTAAATCCTCAGCACTTAGAAAAGTGCTTGGCATACAGAAAGCATTGCATAAATATTTGCTGAATGAATGAATTTGTTTCCCCCTACTGTTCCACTCTCCCATTTTCAAGATCACTACAAAAAATTTCACTCTTGACCTGTATTTCATTAATGAAAGGATGATTTAAAAATAGTTTCAGATGGCACAGGAAATATTCTGGAAGGATGTACACCAAACTGGTGTCCATGGTTAATGTTGGGGAGAGGAAGTAGTTGGTGAGAGAGGGACACTTTTTACTTCATATACTTTTATAGGATTTAATACATGATTCCAACAATTAAGATCCAGTAAACAATGATAACATTAATGGTAGTTCTTATTATTATTATAGCACCTATCGCTTAGCCGTCACTATGTGTCAAGCATTGCTCTAAAGACCTTCTCTTTAGTAACTCACTTAATCCACACCACAACACTGAGGTAAACAATATCACTGACCCATTTTACAGGTCAAGAAACTGATACACAGTAAGTGTATATAATTAGCCCAAAGTAACACTACTAGCAAAAGACAGAGTCTTGATTCAAACCAGAGTCCAGGAAAACTGGATTCAAATCCCCAATGCACTTCTTCATTAGATCAATGATTGAATGAGCATGGAAAACCGGGTAAACCATTTAACCTCGCCAAGCCTCAGTATTCAGGTCTGTAAAAATAGGAAAACCTACTTCACAGGATCACTGTTTGTACAGCACTGACAGTAGTCAGCATTCAATAAATGGCAGCACTTACTGCTGACGGTATCAGCTAGCATGGAGGAGGGGGGCATTCAGAAAATAAACCAACTCACATCTTCTTCTAATTTTAGAGCTGATAAAATCAGATACAAAATTTAAAACTCGGAAACTGTCTGAAAGTAGGAATTTAAGATAGTGACCATGATATGGCCCTCTGAAATCTGGGGTTAATAAGACTGACCTACCCCCCTCCCCAAATATTGTGAGAATGGTGTGTAAAGGGAGGATGGAATGATTTTGTTCATATAAAGGTTAGAGAAATGATTAGGTAGCATCAGGGGCTTCAGAGCTGGCAGGGGCTGTGAGGACACACTTGTTCATCAGCTGGACTGTATTTAGTTATTGGTTTACAGTATTGGTATTTCCTTCAGGGAGTTCTATCTTTATATCCTGGCTTATTCAAAACCAAAGCCTTAGTTTTCCACCTATAAAAAGGAGAAAACAGTGCTTACTTTTCATAATACGAGATTTAAATGAAGTAACGCATGTAAAGAAGTAGTTTCTGGCACACGGTTAGCATTCAACAAATGATAATCGTTGAAGTGTCCCGTTTCCTGGGGGAGACAGAGTAACAAACAACTAGAAGAAAATGTGGCCAGTGCCACAAGGTCAGTGAACAGAGCACTAAGCAAGTGTGCAATGACACAGGTGTACTGGAATTCTTTTTGAGCGCCACCTAAATGGATCTGATGAACTGGCTGGGATTACCTTCTAAGTTTCCAAAGATGAAAACTCTGGAGAAGACTGCACTGTTGAGGGACAGACAGTCCTTCAAGACTTAAGAACCACTGAGGGTAAAACAACTTGGAATGAATAAACAAGAGTGTGAAAATGAAGCACAAAATGTTAACGAAAGTAATCTACTGCTGCAGCAAATAAGTCTTTATTGGAAACACATGCACATGACTTGTAAGCAGTGGATTTTAAACAGCATGACTAACCTAAACTAATGTCATGCTGGCTTGTCATCTTTAGCTTCTTATAAACTAAGCACCAACCATTTAAAACAGTACAAAGAATAAATGTGCTTGGTTCATGTTTCATTGTTCAAACAGTTTAAGCAGCCAATTAGTAGAATAAATATGTAAAAATTTGAACCAATTAATTATACTAATAAGGCCCATCTTAATTTATGAAAAGCCTGAACTACTGAGTTTAAATACATATGTATTGCTTTTATTTGTGTATTTATACAGCACACACTACATTTTCCTTAATTATAAAATTGGTACATGCTTAACGCATATAGAAGCTTTTTAAAAATTTTATTAAAAATCCAGAGGAAGAACAAAAATCATGCAAAATCCCACCACTCAGAGAAGAGAGAAAACTTTACTGTTAACTTTTATCTTTCACATCTTTTAAACAGATACTGCTATATTTGGAGGTATAAATATATTATATCTCTATATAATATATAAATATTATAAACAATATATATCACATACAATATAATATATAAATATAACATATTTATAAATAAAAATTGTTATTCTGTACACATTTTACAGTTGTTTAAAAAACATTTAACAATTCATTATGAATATTTTGCCACTTCAACAAAATTCTTCTAAAATATAACTTTTTTATACAATATGATTTTTAATGGCTGCATAGTTTTCCTTCCTATGCCATAATCATTATTATTTGGTTTTAGTTGTGTTATTCTGGTACATATACTAAGAGTCTAGTTCTCCTCTGTTTAAAGGCTAGTGTAGATGAAAATGACTTCTTAACATCATATAAAAGCACAGTTTAGGCAGTGAGAACACATATACTGGCACTAACATTGATTCCATGTAAATGACACCTATGGATGTATAAAAAGTTGGTTCTACATAGGAATTACCACTCTTTAGATTTTATTAGGCTACTTAAAAAGTTTTTTGGTTAGCAAACTGGGTTTTCTTTTAAACCTATAATATCCAGCTATAATTAGAGTTTTGAACTAGTAAGACTTGAGTTAACGATTTTTTAAAAAATTGCCCCACATCTCATTTCCTTCAGTAATTCCATTGCGAGGTAGGTTGATATGGACTTGTAGTAAGTATGATTTGGGGACCCACCCCAAACTTTCATCAGAACATCTAATCTTTCATCAGAACACCTAATCTGAAAAGGGAACACCTAATCGGAAAAGGGAAATATATGCACCTATGTTAGGAACTCTGGTCACAAATAGAATGAGAACTCTGGTCCCATTTCCTGAGAATTATATGAATGAATCAACTGTAACACTAAACAAGGCAAGAAAATAAAAAACACCTTTCCTTCAGAATCACAAGCAGTGCTTTGATCAAAGACATTTCAAAGGATTCTCTACTTAAGCTTATCATCTGTTCTATCTCAATTTATAGTATCATGAGACATACTTTTAAATTAGCTCCTCAAGATTTTAAACTAAATTAATCCGTCTTATACAAGACTCAAATATTTCCCAGTAATCCTAGCGATGCAATGCAATGAAACTATGGATATTGCCAATTAAGTTAAACATAGGTTTAAAACCTTTTAATGTTACAACGCACAATTCTGGTATAAAATGTCTAGTCACACTAATGATAAACAGTCACTGGAGGCCCTCAATCTGTATCTTTCTGAAACATGTGACATGGGAGCATGTTTTAACAGGACACCATCATGGAATGAAGTCTGGCTCCCAGTGACTTTAGATGGGGTTTTATCCTTCGCAACTCCCCTAAAAAGACTCTGGACTTCAGTCTGAACACCAGAAGTCTTCAAAGCCTTGTTAACAACAATTAGTTTCTCTTAGGTGTTCTAGAGCAGTAATCCTCTTACTTCTTTGAAAACAAAACAAACAAGCAAACTGAAAATCTACCTCAAGCTTTTCTAATGGGAAAAAGTTTTATCACTGGGTCATTTTTTCCAACTACCCAAAAGGTATGATTAGTCTCAAAAGATACTGAAGGGCATCCCTGGTGGCGCAATGCTTAAGAATCCGCCTGCCAATACAGGCACACGGGTTTGAGCCCTGGTCTGGGAAGATCCCACATGCCGCAAAGCAGCTAGGCCCGTGTGCCACGACTACTGAGCCTGCGCTCTAGAGCCCGTGAGCCACAACTGCTGAGCCTGCGTGCTACAACTGCTAAGGCCCGTGAGCCTAGAGCCCGTGTTCTGCAGCCGGAGAGGCCGCCGCGGTGAGAAGCCCGCACACCAGAGCGAGGAGTAGTCCCCGCTTGCGGCAGGTGGAGAGAGCCTGTCCACAGGAGTGAAGACCCAATGCAGCCAAAAATAAATAAATAAGATAAACAGATATTGAAAACACCAACTTATTCCATACAGTAAATCACAAAACTGACAGCTCTCAATAGACAATTCTGTATTTTTGGATGCATCTACCTAAATCTAAGTGATGTACTCACATCCTCAAGGTTTTAGCAACAAAAGTATACATCAGTAGCTTATCTACTTAAAAATTAAAAATAAGACATATACAACTTGCACAAGGATAATCATTTTTTTCTCCTTACAATGTGTAAATCACAGTCTTTTCAAATTTGTTATCCAATTTTTGACAGAAGAGTCTTCATAACGATTTGTTGTTTCTTATGAAGATCTCCCACCCAGTTTGCTTCTTATGAAGGATGTTAAAGGAATCTCACAGATCAACACCACAAAGGTTTTTTTTACACTAAAGTGGTAACATGTTGACTTAAGGTAGGGATTATAATTACAGGAATAGAGGTAACAGAGCATGTGATGATAAAGTCATAAAGCAGAGGACTACTGACAATAATGAGGGCCAGTCCCGGGATCTCTTTGTTTTTCCTTTTTTGCTGATTACTAACATATATTTGAAAATTTTAACTGTGGTAAGATACACATAAAATTTCCCATCTTAACCATTTTTAAGCATATAGTTCAGTAGTAAGTATATTCACACTGTTGTACAACCAACCTTCAGAACGTTTTCTATCTTGCAAAACGGAAACTCTTCCAATAATTTTTTTTTTCTTTGCGGTACGCGGGCCTCTCACTGTTGTCGCCTCTCCCGTTGCGGAGCACAGGCTCCGGACGCGCAGGCTCAGCGGCCATGGCTCACGGGCCCAGCCGCTCTGCGGCATGTGGGATCTTCCCAGACCGGGGCACGAACCCGTGTCCCCTGCATTGGCAGGCAGACTCTCAACCACTGTGCCACCAGGGAAG